TTGCATGATTGTAGGAACTGGGCTTAAAAACTTCCCAACCAAGAATCAGTGCTCTGTGGCCTAGTGGAGGTTGAGAATGTTGACATGACCAGGTGTGACCACCTCCCTTGAATCTCCTGGAAGCCTTTCCTCAGTGTGTAGTCTGGGCACCATTACTTAGCCTGGAGGAATGGAGACCATTGCAACTAGAAGGAATCTTCGTGTCTTGGCCAGACCAACAAAGCCACCTGACCTTTGGGTCCTGGCTGCCTGGAAGTTTTGGTCCAATTTAAAAATGACCAAAACCAGTTCTTGTTGTATAGCTAGCTGCTGCCAGGATTCATGTTACAGATGGGATGGAAATGAATCTTGTTATTTATCTAATTTTGAACTATTTATTTCAGCTAAAATTATACCAGACCCAATTGATGAATAGATTATGAATGTGAATAAGCCTTGGTATGCATTTGCCTTATATCTGAGTAAAATTTCATATTTAGATGCCAATCATCGATCTTTTCTAACTGTGATTATCATCAGTTCAAGCGGTCCTTCTCCATGTGTTTTTATTTATTTATTTTTATCTTAGGCATCTATTTTATTATATGAGCTCTTTTCTATTATTACACTTTAAGTTCTGGGGTACATGTGCAGAATGAATTGGCTTTAATGTTGGTGAGACATTAAGGAAAACGAAGGCTCTAATAACAAAATACCAGCCATAGTAATGTTAAGGAGCTGGAGCCAGAATGCCCACGAGTAAGTCTAGACTTGCCACTTTTTACTTTTATGAGTTTGAGCAAGTTGTAAACTTATTTGACTCTTCGTGTCCTCATCTATAAAATGGGGATATGCATAATACTAATTTTATTGGGCTGGTTCATGTAAAGCACCTAGCACATGCTTGGAATGTAGTAAGTGCTCACTGAATGGCAACAGCTGCTGCTGCAGCCAAAATCCCAACCCACTGGTGAGAAGCCCCATGTGTAAACCAAAGAGATAAGACAAAGGTCAAGAAAAATCCCAGTGATGGTAAAAGCAGTGATAGCAACAGTAGCAGCATCCGCTCACTTCTTCCTGTTTGTGAGTGTAAGGTCTTGTTTTCGCTTTCACCTCTGCTCTTGCACTCAACTTCCTTTCTAAATGATCACAGGAAGACAGAAGTTTATTTGTATGATGTTTTGCTTACGGTGATTGAATAAAATTTTGGATTCTCAGTTCTTAATTGAAAAAGTAGGCAAGGGGAAATTTGCTTCCAAAACACTAAACATCCTATTTGCGATGCCTAATGTAGTTTCTGTGTGTGCAAACTTGTGTGTACTACCATTGTTTTATTACAGAGAACGTGTCCCTGTTCCTGTTTCTATGAATTATTTACATCATTTCAGTTTTGCCTATGCTAGTATTATGTTTAAATGCAGGTAGTTTTGTGTGGTGTGTGTTGTGCACACACACAAGACAATAATATTTTCCTTTTATTTCAAATAGAACTTTTGGATAAATTTATATTGACAGCTACTGTGCGTTGCCATTCCTTTAGATAGCTTTGAAATACATTAAGCAAGAGGTTATTAAAGATTAAGTTAAAAGTATGTTGAAGGTTTTTCTTTTATTTTTTCTTTTAAATTCAATAATTTAAATTTTCTTAGTCTTTTCATTTAAATTCAATAGATTTAAAATTTGTTCCTGTGACCAAAATTTCTTTAGGATCTTTTCCCAGCTATTTATGTGTATTTCTCTCTCTAGATAGGAATATTGCTATCTAGGTGCAGTGGCATTCACCTATAGTCCCAGCTACATAGGAGGCTGAGATGGGAGGAACACTTGAACTCAGGAGTTTGAGACACATGCATGTACACACACAGACACCCACTTCTAATACCAAACATTTTTCAAAAACTATTTGAATATTAAAATCTGCTTTCTACGTAAGACAGTGTTTTGTGCTTTTTGGGTAATTAGACTCTATTTCACATGAAAAAATCAGAACCAAGGCTTCCATTTGTCATGCTATCACTTAATAAAAATAAGTAATTGCAACATGATCATCTATCATTTTAGAGGTGTTTCTAGGGAATACAATCCAGAGCTAACTCTGTTAGTTTTGTTAGTGAAAGATATTATTTCTTCACTTACCAAAACCATGATTGCTCGGCTACTTTTCCAAAGGCCAAATTTTGAACACTAATGCCCTAGCTATAATTTTTTTGACCTGTAGTATTTTAAATTAGTACCAGCAGAGTAGGTGCACTAGATTATAACACATAATATAAGCTATAACAAATCACGTTTGGGAGACGTCTCTGCAAACTGCACTGATCTTGTAGGTGTCCTGCAGCAGTAAGAGCACTCATCTTCTTCGGCAGGAATCATCATCAGAACCATAGAGGATAATATTTATGTAAAGGTCCATGTGGAGACTCTTTAAAAGATGGTGACATGATCAACGTGATGATCACCAAGACGTATAGCCTACTACAAAGAAACCTTGGCACAATTAAGCATCAGCTTTTCATAAGTTGCATTCTTCAGTTTAGAACAGAAAATGAAAAACAAAAGGGCAGAGATCGATGGCTTATATGACACTAAATACATATACATTGAGGCAGAGAAGAAAATGTCTTAAGTACTCGAAACAGTTATCTATCAATGGCTTGCAGATTGTGTTTTCGCTTAGTTGTATACCACAATGTGTGAAAAGGATTTGCCAATGAAGCCACGTGCTATGGTCTGTGGAGAGCCCGACTGATGAGCTGAAGCTTTGGGCCTTTGTGTTTCAGTACGGCTGTACCGCGTTACATTATGCCTGTGAGATGAAAAACCAGTCTCTTATCCCTCTGCTCCTGGAAGCCCATGCAGATCCCACAATAAAGAATAAGGTAAGGGTCTATGGACCATGGACTGAGGTTCCTCTAGCAGCAACATCTTCTAATCTAGGCCTATGTTGAAGTAAATTATTTGCCTCTGATGTAAACAACAGTAAAATTAATCATCCTCATTAAGGAATAAAGCTATCCTATTACTATTAGGACTGACTGCCTTTTAAAGCCCTTGCCAAGCCAGAGAGTCAATTGGTCTAAGCTATTTACAAGATCTTGGGTATTCTATTGGAAATAACTGTATTTTTTCTCCCCCATCAGCATGGTGAGAGCTCACTGGATATTGCACGGAGATTAAAATTTTCCCAGATTGAATTAATGCTAAGGAAAGCATCGTAATCCTAGTGACCATGCCGATGGAGATATAGATAAAGTTAAAGACTGGATTCTATCTTCACTTTAGACTGTTGGTCCATGGGCCACCTGGCTGCCACCATTTTATGGGGATAATGATGATTATCTTGGTTAATGTTTTGGAAGAGCTTTTTAATTACAGCATTGTTTTCTCAATCAAGTTCACCATGGTCATAATCCCTCTAAATGTAACACTAAAGTTGTTGCTGTCTCCACTTCAGTCAGAAACTGATGTTTCAGCTAGACACAGTGGTACATGCCTGTAATCCCAGCTACTTGGGAGGCTGAGGTGGGAGGATCATTTGAACTCAGGAGTTTGAGAGCAGCCTGGGCAACAGTGAGACCCTGCCTCAAAAAAAAAAAAAAAAAAAAAAAAAAAAAGCCCTCGTGTTCCAAATGCAGTCTTTCCTGAAGAAGAGTATCAGAGTTATCTTCTGAGAAGTGTCCTCTCTTCCTAGTTGCATCACTCTTATAAAAAGACTGTCCAGTCTGTCATGCCCTAGGAGATAAACTGTTCCTCTCAGTGCCCTCTGAGTACTGAGCAGAAGAATCAAAGTATTAAATATGTACATTTGTATAGAATGGTATGTGTATGTGTGTGGGCTTAGAGATTCACATGCAAATATTCCTTTGATGAAACAACTCCAATGAAAACATCAAGTGTCAGTGGTGAGCATGTTTACACCACAGAAATTGGCAACTTGATGAATCCAAGCTTTTGTTTGTTTCCAGAAAGTTGGTTTACCAGCATACCACTAGGGATTTTCCTTTACAAATAAAAACCATCTTCGTTTGAGCAAGACTATGCAACTATGAAAATGTTTGTTTAAAAAAATCTTCATGATCTCTTTGTATATACAAGGTGATTACCAAGCTTGTTAGCTTTGTTTACTTTATGGATAAATGTAAAATATTATTGTAACTTATTTGGATAAAGTTCTTCATAAGAAACAGCTATATAATGAGGTAGGATCTGGATTATTTGTCTAAGTGAGAGATTGTGAATATCAAAATATCTGTCTCACTTCCTCTGTGAATGAGGCAAAGTAAAAATAAACTCATTTAAAAAATATGATTAAATTTTGCAAATCAAGAATGAATCTTATGTAGCTTCAGACAGAGACTAAGCCAGCCACACTGTATGTAGTAACAAGTACAGTCTAAGAATGAAAGATTTACCGTCTTTGAAAGATCTAATGAAAATCAAATCCAGCAATATATATTGAGCTGTGCACCCGCCTTTAAGGAACCTATTTTATGAAGGAAGTAGTAGTGTGTAGATATAGATTCTGAAGCCTTTAAATGTGTCGTAGTAAATTAAGATTCACTGACACTGAGCTGAGCTACCAAGTGATCCTTAGGGACAGAAAAACCATACAAGTGAACTTCACACACCAGTATACTTTCAACAATATGCTTTTGACACGCACTAATCTTGGATTTGGTTTCAGAGATTTTGCCAATGTAATTTGTAATACCAATGTAATTTACAACTGTCATCTTTGAAACTGTGTAAATAAAGTGGAATAATTTTCTGAAGAAATAATTCATGGTTTGTGAATGAGTTGTGGTGACTGTCTGACATTAACTTTGTCAAGCTTATAGGATAAAGTATACAACAATTTGTTTCATCATGCTCATGCCATTATGCAATTTTTTTCCTAGCTTAAGTTTTTGGAGGCAGAAAATTGAGCCAGAAATTTCTAGCCATTAGGTCTCCTAGCAACAAGCTGAAAACCCTTCAACAAGCTTGAACTAGAATCTAGACATTGAAATGCACACGTATACTTTATGGAATGCAGAATGCATTTATTGGAAAACTCATAAACATCCTATCACATTTTCTTCCCTGAGATCCAACTGTAAAACCTGGCCTTATTCTGAGAGTGCTTAACATATATTTCATCTAATGTAACATTGATTTTGTTGTTGTTAAAGCAGCTCAGCTTCCTGAGGTAGTGTTGTCTCTATGGCAACAAGGTGAAAATGTCTAGCTATTTTTGTCAAAGTCAACAACAATCCAGAGATTCCAGACCTCAATATCTGTCCCAATTAGTCATTTTACTTTAGTGCTCAAAATATATGGCTTATAGAAAAAAAAATTAAATGCTTTAAAGAGATTTACTTGTCTGTCAGAGAATGTCTAGTACTTTCTGGCTGTCAGGTAAAATCTACCTTTCAAAATGATAGAATATATAATAGCATATAAAACCTCTTTACCCAATGAGTACTTTAATTTACCGAAAAAAAGTAAACATCAGATTTAGTGCCAAGTACGGGCAATCTGAAAAATGTATACTAGGTCTCTGCCCTCCCTAATTCTGCCTTCATGGGTCCTAGCCCCCTCCCTCATGAGGTTGTCCTAGACCCATCAGTATCGGATGCTTCACAATACGGTCTCACACCGTCCCTGGGAAAGACTGGTCTCCTCCTGCTGCATCAGATGGATGATTTCATTGTACATACGGTGAGGAGCATCCAAACCCCAGATGAAATCCACATGAGCCCATTCAGGAATATTCTTATAGTAGATGAGGTTGGTCATTTCAGAGAGCAGCATCTTCACATCTTCTGGATTTGAAAGCCAGTCCTGACCTCCTGTCCACATTGCTGTAGGGACCGTCATATCTCTGACTCTGTACCTTACAGGAGTTGGCTAAAGAAAAGAAATAGTTCTTAACTCTAGGTAACATTTGGACTCTCAGACTCACAATTTATGTTTGAAATAAATATAATAATCATGCCATTTGCTCCGGTGAAGGGTACACAGGTGTTAAAGCCAAACAGACTCTGTTAAGAATTTCTGTTTCCACCCTTATTTTAAGGTAAAATTACTTAACATTATGGAACCTTAGTTTCTTCTGTGAATGGGGATAATATCTATAATAACTAGCTAGGTCAAGTGAGAAAACACATAAAAACACGTAATGCCTTGTACTTCGTTTTTCTTCCTATTAAATATTTTGTAAATAAATTGTTTTAAAAAATGATGCCCTGGTTCTTTTAAAAGATGATTCCGCAAACATTTCATGACACAAGAATTATATTCCACAGAGAAAAGCAAGGAACCTGCTGGGAAGGGCTCTGCATCTACACAATCTTTCTGTGATCCCAGGCAGCCTTTGAGGCAGGCCCAGCTTGACTGCATTTCCAGAACTATGGCCTATGGCACTCAGGTGACTGCAGCCAAAGAGAAGTAAAAGCTAAATACCAGCTTCAACCCTTTTCCCCGCCCCCCACTGCCACCAAATATACCAATTAGTATTACTAATTCCTGGGAACTTTCTGTATTTATGCAGTGTTAGTAGAATTAGCCTGGCCAGCTGAGCCCTTGAGATTTAATCAGCATCCAGAACTTTCCACAGAAATAGTAAAGCCCATTCCTTACTCAGGAGATCCACCACAGAGTTTTGACTCCAATCCTAGATGCTCTGGTTTCTCTTTGTGGCTCTCTAGGAATTTAGAGTTATGGCCTATTTTGGATAAGGAAAGTTGAAAAATTCTATGGGGCTAATAGTATTTTGTTGTTGTTGTCATCTTACAGGTTAAAAAGATTGAACTAAATGTCTTGACTCATTCTGAGTTTCTGTGATTCTATGATACTTTTTTGTGTGTTTGATTTCTCTTCCCTTCCACTCCCATCTTCTGGTTCCTGTTCTGTGTGAATCAATTTCTCTAGAACTCAGTCCATTAAATGTTGATAAATTAAAACCATCTTAGGGCTAGGCATGGTGGCTCATGCCTATAATCTCAGCACTTTGGGAGGCCCAGGTGGGTGAATCACTTGAGGTCAGGAGTTTGAGACCAGCCTGGCCAACATGATGAAACCACATCTCCACTAAAAATTAAAAAAAAAAAAAAAATAGCTGAGTGTGGTGGCATGTGCTTGTAGTCCCAGCTACTTGGGAGACTGAGGCAGGAGAATGGCTTGAAGCTGGGAGGTGGAGGTTGCAGTGAGACAAGATTGCACCACTACACTTCAGCTTGAGTGACAGAACAAGACTCTGTCTCAAAACAAAATTTTAGAAAATTAAAAAAAAACCATCTTAGAACAGGAATACTTTCTTTAATGACATATTTTAGGAAACAGTGAAGAAGGACCTCAAGAGAAGCAGCTGATACCAAAGACAGAGTTTGCTATCCCGGGGCACTGCACAGTTTGTCCAGTGTCCTAACATTTTACATCTAGATAGATGTATGGCAGTGGGTATTATGATGTGAGACTCTCAAAGAAGGACTAAGCTGTGTCTAATCTGCCCCTTTCAGCTTTGTCTGTATAGTAAAAATTTATTTACATTTACACTATGATTACCAAAAATCTTCAGAAGATTTTATGTTCAAAAGAGCATACCTATGCAATTCTGAATCTCCACACTTTGATTTTTAATTTTAGTTCATAGCATTAGCTACATATTTTCTTGGGTAATGTAATAACATTTAAAAAACTTTTTAACTTGGAAATTACAGATTCATTGAAAGTGTAACCAGGGAGAATGCTTATGTGCCTTCTTTTTCTTTTCTTTTTTTGAGACAGAGCCTCACTCTGTTGCTCAGGCTGGAGTGCAGTGGTGCGATCTCGGCTTACTGCAACCTCTGCCTCCCGGGTTCAAGAGATTCTCCTGCGTCAGCCTCCTGAGTAGCTGGGATTCCAGGTGCAGGCCACATGCCTGGCTAGTTTTTTTTTTTTGTATTTTTAATAAAGACAGGGTTTCACCATGTTGGTCAGGCTGGTCTCAAACTCCTAACCTCGTGATCTGCCCATCTTGGCCTCCCAAGTGCTGGAATTATAGGCATGAGCCACCGCACCTGGCTGCTTATGGATTTTCCAAGCCCTAAATTACTTTATTTTAAAGATAAAGAAATTGAAGCCTGAAAAATTAAAGCAGACTACCTCCTATTATAGAGGGTTATAGTGTAGAGGCAAAACTTACACAGTGATCCTCACTTGCTATTTAATGTTCTTTTTACTGTGCCATGAAACAAACTTACTTCCACCATCCCATTTCTTTATCCTAAAATAATCCTTCTAATATCCACCATAGACTACACTCTTCTCTTGACTAAATCTATCCCTTCTTGCTCCTGAGAATCCCAGTGCCTTGTTCAGGGAGACAACCTCACAACCTCAGAAAAAAAAAAAAGCGGGGGGGGGGCCTTGTACTCCATTGTAAAAGCAGAGAGGTTTTTTGGCTAAGCTGCGAACTTAACCATTTTCAAATGGAGTCAAACATGAACTATTATTTTCTGCTTAAATTTTCATATTTTGTTCCCACATCTAGAATAAATTGTCACTATTACTTCCCTGTCATACATTTCCAGTGCATATATTTTCAGCAGATGGTATCTGATTTTTGTACCTGATTGCATTTTTCCAGATTTTTGGTCTCACTCCCCCAGTCAAATGCCCGGAGTTCACCAGAATTCACTGCCTAAAAGGAAATAAAAATTGACAAGGTATTCAAACGTCTCAGTGGATAAGGCTGGTGGGGTGGTGGAAATGTGCCACCCAGTGTGCAATTGTGAGGGAAGCAGAGAGCAAAGGCAGAGCTGCTCTTCTATTCAATGTTGGGATAAGCCTCTCAGGAAAATGGTAAAGCAAGAATGAGGCCTTTTGAGAGAAAGACAAACATAAATTCTTGATCACTGTTATCAACTCTAGGAAGTATATCCTCATTGTACTTAATATGAGTGGTGTCCTCCATAACTCTGTGAGCTACAATGGGGCATTGTGCCCTGGAATTGTGCAATGTGGTGATCCTGGGAGATAGCGACCAAAATTTGATCCAACTTAGAATTCTTCTCTGGTTTTGATTGTACATTCACCCTCTCGCTTGTTAGCTTTCTCTCTCCCTCTCTCTCTCTCTCCCCGTCCCTCCCCGACTTCCACAGAGAGAACTCTCTCCTTTCCTCTCTCCCTCTCTCTTTCACACACACCACACGGACACACAGAGGTGTGTGTTTCCTGTAATTGCTGGTAAACCTTGCAGTGTGAAGGACTCCTGTCAATATCTCTTTGGAGAGTTAGACCCCACCTTAGCATTTTTGTTTCCACTTGACTGTATGGCTGGAGGAGCTGAAGTGAAGATATAGAAACATAATCCTCTCCAGCCACATGTTTGAGAAGTCTCACTTGGATCGTCTAAATTCACGATTTTTTTTTTTTAGACGGAGTTTCACTCTTGTTACCCAGGCTGGAGTGCAATGGCGCGATCTTGGCTTACCGCAACCTCCGCCTCCTGGGTTCAGGCAATTCTGCCTCAGAATCCTGAGTAGCTGGGATTACAGGCACGCGCCACCATACCCAGCTAATTTTTTGTATTTTTAGTAGAGACGGGGTTTCACCATGTTGACCAAGATGGTCTTGATCTCTTGACCTCGTGATCCACCCGCCTCGGCCTCCCAAAGTGCTGGGATTACAGACTTCAGCCACCGCGCCCGGCCTAAATTCATGATTTTAAGATCCACTAAAGAAGCCCTTAGGTAAATTCTGTCCTTTCCTCCCATTTCCTGAGAAGTTTCAATGATGTAGATAAAATTCTCCATCAAAACACCATTGACAGGGAAAATGTGGCACATATACACCATGGAATACTATGCAGCCATAAAAAATGATGAGTTCGTGTCCTTTGTAGGGACATGGATGAACCTGGAAACCATTTTCAGCAAACTGACACACGAACAGAAAATCAAACACTGCATGTTCTCACTCATAGGCAGGTGTTGAACAATGAGAACACATGGACACAGGGAGGGGAGCATCACACACTGGGGTCTGTAGCGGGGAACTAAGGGGAGGGACAGCGGGGAGTAGGGAGTTGGGGAGGGATAACATGGGGAGAAATGCCAGATATTGATAATGGGGAGGAAGGCAGCAAACCACATTGCCATGTATGTACCTATGCAACAATCTTGCATATTCTTTACATGTGCCCCCAAAACCTAAAATGTAATAAAATAGAATAAAAATAAAAAATAGAAAAAATTTTTTAAAGAAACAGCATTGATGATGTTGCATTTAATCTTAGAATGAGTATGAAATCATCCCTGGGCTATCTAAAGGGTGTCCTTTGACTATTCTAGATAAAATATGAAAGGACACTTAGCAAAGACTGTAAATTCAACATTCTTACCTGGCTCCAGTGTAGAATATTTTGCACAGATGTTCCAGCAAGAGTGTGGGCAACATATACATTTGCTCGGCTCTGTAACAAAGCATGAGCATTTTTTGGGACATAGAAAAAGTTACAAGAGGTATGCCTTGTCAAGACCAAATCTCCAGGGTGTAAGACTAAGAAATGGGAACGTTATTAAATTATGAGCAATTATCTATGAAACAATAATATGGACAAGCACATAAATAAAATGGTCACTAAATGTATTGCCAGACATCATATTTTTCATTTGAGAATAGCTTCCCATCAGAGATCTGTCCTCTACTTAAAACAAAGTTAACTAGTGATATTTAGGATGAGGGCTCCAGTATTGGGCCTGTATTCAAATCCTAGCTCTACAGTTTAATTTTTAGGTGAATTTGGGTGAGTCCTTGAAGACACTAAATCTTAGTATACTAATCTGCAAAGTGGGAATATTAATAACACTCATAGGCTTGGTATAGGTAATAAATTAGCCTCGTATATAATATATGCTTATCAAATGTTTACTATAAATCAAATTATTTATCTTAAAGAAGAAAAAATTTTCAGTATTAAAGAAATGTTGCCCCAGCTGCTGAAAGTGCTGCTGGCAAACAGCCCTCCACTCTCAGCCTGCTTTGAGGATTGCTCCAGTTGCAGGGAGATACCTTGCCCAGTGTTCCCTGTTACTGGTGTGGCTACATTAAATGACTGGTTGGTCTGGTATATAAAGTCCCAGCTCTTTTTTCCTAACACGGCACAGTTCTGAAGGGTCATCCTGTATTCACACATCCCTGCAGGATCAACTAAGACTCCTATTGAGGCTGCATCACTACTTGACTTTTTCACCTACCTAATCCTGTTTCTTTTCCTTCTCTGGGTATTATCCTTAGAGCAGAGCCCAGATCATTGTGATTAATCTCCACCTGAGAGTATGCTTCCTAGCGAACCCACTGAGTGATACCAACTGGTAGCCTAAGCCAAAATGAAAGTTCCTGATGTTCCATCAAAGAACTTAAACTATAAGCTGAAAGGACCCCAGTGGAAGGTAGAGGTGGATGATATATGACGGTTCTCTCTGTTGACTAACAGGTGCTAATTGCTCTTTTAAATTTAATTCACTGTAGTAAAGCTGCTTTCAGATCTCTTCCATCTGTAATCTATGATTTAATATCTAGCAATGCCCTTATGTTAACCTTGTTTCAGTCCATACTGAAGCATTTCCCTTATTTCCTTACAATTTGGAAAGAACTGAGTCACTGGGAATATGACCTTCCTCTGAGTCTTCATTGGCATTAGCTCTCCCTCCAGGAGGGAGCCATGTGGCTCCCAGCTTTATGCTGGGATGCATTAACTAGGCTTCCACTTACCATGTTCATATTGTTGGTGTTGAATCCACCCAGAAGTAACATGATATTACTACAAATCTGATCAAGAATCATCTGGCCACAAAGGTGAATAACAAACTGTCTGAGAAATCTGGTCTGATACAGAAATTCTTTTTTGCCAAATAATCCCTGTAAAAATATGAAGTGACATGGTAGTCATTCATTACATGACAGACAGAAAAGGCGTGGCTGTAATTTAAAAGTTTATGTTTTAGGAAATTGGACTGGAAGATTTTTCAACGTGCACAGGAAATTTTCTGAGGAGTCACATACCTTGATCATCATATCTGGCAGCAACAAAAATTTGACCCCAGGGCTTTTTGCATGCTTAACAGTGGCTATGGGCGCTAAAGCAAAATACATTTTGATTTTCTGAGCCAGCTCTGGCATGGTAGAAAACGCAATAAACCCTACAAAAGAAGAAATATGTCAACATGAATGCTGAATATTTTAGAGCTCATAAAATGCATATTTTGTTTTTAACAAGATATTTTGATAATCATATATGCAATTGTATCTTACATCTCCTATAAAATTTTAAGGTCCTTATGACACTAGCATATTTGCTTTCAAGTAGTAGGTGCTCAATGAGTTAAATAATTGAATATAATGATATTGGCTTTGAGAAAATATTTATATTGAGAGGTAACTATATACTAGACACATTGCTGGGGACTACATATTTCTGAAAATGACAAGACCAGGTCTGAGGGAAGTACAAGGTGACTGATTTCAGGGATAGCTGGTGCTATATGCCCACGTTTCTTCCAAGTATACAAACCTGCTTTTCTTTGAACCTACCCATGGTGGTGCCCTGTGAATAGCCGACATAATAGATCTTTTCCTGGCCCGTTTTCTGCAAAATAAAGTTTATCACTGCAGGAAGGTCAAACCTAGCCATCTCATCATAACTACAAGGGGAAAAGACAAAGTTACATGAAAAATTATAATCAGAAACAAACAAAAGTGCTCCCCCTTCCCTGTCGGGTTTACAAACAAGCACTTGAATTACCAGCCCTGATAGCTTGATACTGTGTCCCTCACAACACTCAGAATGGATTTCTTTCAAACCTGTGATACATGGGTATCTCTGGAGTCACAAGCTATCAACGACTGCTGTTTTCTCTAGATGTCATCATATAGCAATAATCATCTTCAGTGAATATTTACCGAGCACATAACCCAACTCCTAGTGTAAGTGTTCTGTCCTACTGTTAAACAGAACAGCACAGGGCCATGCAGATTCATTTATAGGAATAGTTGTAAAGATGCTGAAGGGACCCTTCTCTGATAAAAATAAAAAGCAAGTTGAACATCAATCAGTAATTTAAATAAAAGCATTAAAAATCTTTTGTACAAACATGAGAGATATGTAAGTCAAATTGATGGTCCTTAGGTGATATGGTTAGGCTTTGTATTCTCGCCCAAATCTCATCTTGAATTGTAATCCTCATAATCTTCATGTGTTAAGGGAGAGACCAGGTGGAGGTAGTTGAATCATGGGCGTGGTTTCCCCACGCTGTTCTTGTGATACTGAGTGAGTTCTCACAATATCTGATGGTTTTATAAGGGGCTCCTCCCCCTTTTGATCAGCATGTCTTGCTGCAGCTTTGTGAAGAGGGTGTCTGCTTCCTCTTCGCCTTCTTGTAAGTGTCCTGAGGCCTCCTCAACCATGCTGAACTGTGAGTCAATTAAACGTTTTTCCTCTATAAATTACCCAGTCTTGGGCAGTTCTTTATAGCAGTGTGAAAACGGACTAATACACTAGGCTTAATAGTTTTTCTTCTTTTTTTTAAATGCTGCCTGGTCTCATCTCCTTCTGGAGTACTATTATACTATTACCCTCCTACAAGGAAATGGATCTACACTTTTCTCATTCCAATCTCAGTCACCTGATATCAACCACCATTCTCACCCTGTTAACCAGACCCAACCTTCTACATGGGAAACTCAATATTCCTTACTACTTCAACCAAAGTATCACTAGTTAATTTTAAAAAATTGGAGGATATTATGTAAGGATAATGATGACTCAAACAAAATAAATCAACCAAACACTAGAAGCCATAATTTTTTACCCCGTTCTTTGAAAGGTGGACATGTCTACCTCCATACTCGAGATTTTCATATACCTGAAAGCCCAGAACTCATCTTGGTCTATGGAGAGGGTCTTGTGTTTTCGAGACCAGGTATTTCCCCTGCTGTTCCCCATCCACACATCAAAACCAGCATCTGCCAGAATGAAGCCCAGGCTATTGTTGGGCAGGTTGGAAATCCAGTTGCTAGCGCTTCCAACTAGGCCATGCTGCAGTAACACCACAGGCCTGGAACCTGCACAAAAGAAAAAATGTCAGCTGTGTGAAATGTTCTCTCTCTTCCTTGTTACCCAATAGTGAATAAGAGCTTTCAGATCAAACAAACCTGTGTTTAAATCTTGATTCAGCTGCTTGCTAGCTTAGTTATCTTGGCCAATTACTTAACCTTTGTCATGTATCTTGATTTCCTCATCAGTAAAATAAATTTTTTGTTATGCTTTAATAAAATAGAGCACAAGAAACAGATGGCATGTTGCCTGGCAGAAAAGGAATCTATAAAGTTTAACTTCTGTCAGTTTTGTGTAATTATTATTATCAGATATGTCCAGCTCTTAAAAAATACTGAAAGTGCCCCAGTAGATGGTACAGTATGATTATTAAGTTATATGTATACCACATATATATAATGGTTTAGTAATTAAGAGACCTTCATGTCAAAAGGACCCACAAGCCAGCTTGAAAGAGCTCCCACTGTACAAATACAGAATTATCAAGCAACACAATAATGATAGTGAAGAAATATATTCCACTGAATAAGTTGAGAATGCTTAAGTCCATATAGAGACCAGTAAATGAATGAACACATAAATAATTAGAAGGGAAGGAAAAGCTGTTATTTACAGAATAATGCCAAATAGTAAATACAAGACATTGATTTATAATATAATATCAGTTAACAAATTCAGAAAGATTGAAATTATCAGTGAATGTTAAAATTAGTGAGTAAAAGTTTAAAGACAGAATATTACATATCCTGAAAGCATCTTCCCATAACTTATTTGTTAATTACAAAAGGAAAAATACTAACTTTAGAAAAATCTGGCAGATAACACCTCAACAAAGTCATGAAAGTTAATATCCATACTGGAACAAGCCAACTTATTTGCTTAATAATATGATGAAACAAGAAAGATATAACTTCACTTTCATGTTATTCCTGCCACAAATGTATAACCTGAATCACACCATGAAGAAACACCATATAAACCAAACTAAAATCTATGTCCAAAACTCTTCAAAAATGCAAAAATCAAAAAGACAAAGAAAACCTTAGGAATTCTTTGGGAAGGAGACAGACTTGATGGCCAAATGTGGTAAACGATCCTGGATTAGATTATGGACTGGGGGAGGGAAAACTATAAAGGACTTTGGGACAATTGACAAAATTTGAATACAGACTATGAATTAAATACTAATGTCAATCAACGTTTTCTAATTTTGATATATGTATTGCAGTTATAGAAGAGAATACTCTTGTTCTTTGAAAACACTCGCTGAAGTACTTACGGACAAATAGGCACAATGTTGTCTCAAATTTACCATCGAAGGTTTTGGAAAAAGTATTAAGATACACATAAGAAATGGGGTAGAGAGAATAATAAAATAAATGGGGTAAAACTGTAAACAGTTGGTAAATTGGGACAAAAGATAGGATGTCCCTTGTACTAGTCCCAGAACTTTTCCATAAATTGGAAATTACATCAAAATAAAGAATTATAAAGATATCAGTAGATAATAGAGAAGGATAAAGAGTTTTAAGAATTCTAATGTGTTCATAAATTAAGGTATACACATTATTTTGACATTAGCAAATTTGACTGAAAGATTAATAAAATGCTACCCTATTCAGAGGAATAACTACATCATGCTCTCAACAGGACTTGTGAGAATTAAATCAAATTATGAATGCAATGTCGGTACCACAGTACCTCACTTGGAAAAAGCCTGTAGTAAAAAATAGCTTTGTTGCTCTCATTATTATTATAATTCTCTACAGCAAGTGACTTTCTGAGCTTCAGCGTCCTCATTAGCAAAATGAGAACACAATTGTCCACCTCACAGGGTTTTGGCAGGAAAGGGTTAAATTGGGTACTGTGCATTAAGCACTCAGCATGCTGCTGACCTCACATCAGATGGGTAGCTCTTGTTATTATTGCTAAAAAGGGGAACCAAACACACATGCAATCTCCCTGTAGGACGAAAGCCCTTCTGCACCAAACTCATCCAGCCTCTCGACAGTCTTCATGAATTCCATCTGCCTTATTTTATCTCTCAGGTGAGAGAATGTGTAAGTCACTGAGGACTGTGAGTGCTGGGCCAGGAGAAAGGAACTCAGGGTTATTCTAGGTTTTCCTTGATACTTGGTCATTTAGTTCATCTTCTTCGCACACGGGAAAGTGACCTCAGCTGTGTTAACACAGGACAATCAAACCAAGGTCATCAATGCTCCCTCTGAGAGTCTTTAGGGCATTTCCCATGATTGAGGTCAGCTGAGTTCTACTTAGCCAAACAGTTTGTTCTTGTGATTCCCCTAACAGGAGGACTGGCTCATTTATATCATTTCAAACATCCCCTAGAGCCACGGTCTTCTATTTAAATTACAGCCAGCAGGTGTGTGTCTTAAGGGCTACACTTACACAGCTGTCATTTCTGAGGATGGCCCAGCCTATTTTCTCTCTTGATACTAAAGCCAACTAAGAGTTTTGATAAAGATAAAAAGGCTGCTACCACAAGCTTTAAGCTTTTCAGTAAACATTTTTCAGTTGTTTTCAGTATGAATTCCATTGGCTTTCTTTTTGAAGAGTTGGTGAAAAAATCTCTTTCTACTTTTGATACGGGAGATTGCCTCTGAAGAGGCACATGGGAAAAACATCAGCCACTAGAGGGAAGTATTCTGCTCTGACTGGGCAGAAGAGGCTGATCCTTTGAATCTCGAACATCTGGGCAATGAATGAACAGTCTGAGTTAACAAGATGTAAGAAAACAAATTCCATCCATGACTAGGGGCTGCAGGTGACCCCCACACTTAATAATTACTAAGTTACTCTACTTCTTGGAAGAACTGTGCTTTGCCCACTCCCCTGGGATTTGTGGGGCTGTGTTCCCAGTCCATTTATTTATGCAAAATCCATAATTCATCCCACAAAGATTTATTAGCACTAGAAGGTGCTCAGCACTCAGTTACTGGTTATAGCCTTGAGCAAAGCAAATGAAGTCTCCGCACCCACTGAGTTTACACTCTGATTAGGGGGAGACAGACAATAGACAAACATACAAATATCGCATCAGGTGATGGTAAGTGCTGTATGGAAAAGTAAGCAGAGGAAGGGGCGAGAACTCAATAGATAACAAAGGGCTTCAGTTTTGAACATGGTGGCCAGGGAAGAACTGTGATCAAGTAGACCGAAAGAAGGGCCGAGGCAAGTTGCATAGACACCTGATGAAACAGTGGTCCAGAGGGAGAAATTTAAGTCCAAAGACACTGAGGTAGGTGCATGCTAGACATATATAAGGCACAGAGGGGCAGCTAGTGAGAAAAAAAGGTGGTTTTCAAAAAGCTACACATGTACAAATTAGAGTAAAACAGAACCCCAAAGTTTCTTTACACCAAAGCCTGATAGCATTTGCCCAGCATTTTCTGGTCCTAGTTAAGAACATTGGCTACAGTGGCAGAGAAACAGATCTGATTTGAGTGCAGGTTTTACAGCTCACTAGCTAGCTCTAGCACAGACATTTTGGGCAAGTTGCTTAACATCTATGAGTAGCAGTTTCTTAGGGTAATTGTGAAAATTACATGAGACTAATGAAAATAAAGCACTTATCAGTGTATCTGGCATATCAAAATAACACAAGAAATTATATGTACACATGAAAGACAATGTAGTTGCTACTATAAACACACTGCTAGAGTATTAAAAAGAATCCAGCCAAATAGAAATGAAAAATACGTATATTAGCTGAAAATCCCACATACAAAAGGGTGGCATTGTATGAACTATGGAAATATATACAAAAATTTTAAATGTGTATATAGAACTTTGTTTTTCAGAAACCCTTAGTAAAAAGCTAGGCAACATCTTAAATATTTTAAGTGCTCTTTAGAGGAGGAATACAGAGTATATGGGAGTGGGCATCAGGTGCCATCATGAAGGTTTGATTCTTATGAGCAGATGTTGTTATGGTCTGTCCCAGAAATTGTCAGTGAATATTCTAAAATGTCTGTATTGGAGGGGTTTTGGGGAATGGGTTAAGTGTTAAAATAAGTAAAAAAATAAACTTTTCTTGAAGGTGTGTTTTGAAAAGCAAACACTATATGTTTAATTGAGATAATTGGTGGTGGTGGGGAAGGATAGGATGGTGGTGACAGAGATTATGGGGGAACTGACACCATCCCTTGACCTGAACAATGGACCTCAGTCTGCACTAAGAACCCAGGCTCTCTTCTACATTCAAATTACAAGGAAGTCGTGACTACAGAGAAGAGTGCTGTGTTGTGGTGACATGGGGTGACCCATACCTGTCATCTTAGGTTGCAGTAAGCCTCGAGGAATTCTGTTAACAGAAAGGATATACCCATCTTCAGTTGTGACTTCATATTCCTCACAGGGATAGCCTTGATGTTGGATGATTTCACTCTGTGGAAAAAGCACAATTTATTTTGAGTTCAATTCTCTGTGGTTATATTCTCAATGATCCAAAGGTAAGAGTAGATTCCTTGATACTGTAAAACACAAAGTCTTTGCTTTTCCCTAGCTAATCATGTTAACTTAGAAAAATCTGCCAACCCTCTCTAGTCCTTACTTTCTTTGTCTTAATATGGAGACTGGACTAGAATTGTGGTTCTCAAAGTATGGGCCCTGGGACAAAAGCATCAGCATCACTTGGACTAATCTGTTAGACATGCAAATTATCAGGTTCCAACCAAACCTACTGAATCAGGAACTTGGAGGATTGGGCCCAGTAGTTTGTCTCTTTAGGAAATTTTGATGTACCCTAATGTTTGAGAACCACTGGATCAGAACCCTGATTCCAAAACCTCGTTTTGTATCAGAATCATCTGGGCATTGAAACATACAGAGTCTTGAGCCCATTTCAGGTTACAGATCAGGTGGTTTTAATGCAGCCAGTGGGGCACCTGTTTCACGACAACTTATGAGCATCCGTGGGCCATGCATTTCCTAAGGTTCTTTCCAGTTCTAAAACCACAGACTTAAGAGCATTGATTCCTAACATTTTCAGGTTAAAGTTCCCTTTGTGAATTCGAGAACTATAAAAATGAATATACAAACATGATTTTGCATTTAATTTCAGGTGTTTCAGATATCTGGTTGCCTATATACAAACCCCTAGCTAACTACTCTATACAGTAGTTACATGTAGACATTCTTTGGAAAACTTGCAGCTGCAAAGATATCCTAAGCATCCTCACTATTTTTGCCCATTATTATCACTCAGAGAGAGAGAACCATTTCCATCAGGGGCTGCTTTAAAAAAGAGCAAGAAGGCCAGGCATCACATGCCCAGGTAATACAAAAAAAGCATAGTCATTAGGAGAAAGCTCCTGGATTCCACTGTTTGAATTTTAACCCTGGTTCTAACACTAATACACAAACTAAGGTGTATGATTTTGAGAAATTTAGTTAAACCGTTCCTGTGCTTCAGTTCACTCATCTGTGTATTAGGAATTCTAATGGTTCATACTCTATGGGACTGTTGCAATAAATGCAAAAAGATAATGCACACATAATACTAACTGTAATCCCCAGCACACAGTAGGAACTCAATAAGCATGAACTACCACTATAATTAAAACTTAATTAACCAAGTATTATGGAATGCAGTATACATATGTGCATGTATGTGTGTGAGACACCATTGTATACTTAACCTTAAAAAATGTATAGAAGTATCTTAAATTTTAGTATGCATCAGAATTACTTAGAGGGTTTGTTAAAACACAAATTGTTGGACCCCGCTCTCAGTCTGATACAGCAGGTCTAGGTTAAATCCAAATAATTGACATCCAAGTTCCCAGGCAAAGCAGATGCTGCTGATCTGATGACTACCCTTCAGGAACAACTGTTGTTGATTATTTGGGGAGATAAGACAACTATAATATATAAACATGAGGATGGAGGACATCTGACTAGCAGTTATTGAGAGGATATGTGTAATGTGTCAGATGAGGGATGAATGATGCAAGTGAAGGAAGGAGCAAAGGAATTCTGAGCAGGAGGAGTAATATGAACAGGGCTCGTAAGGAAAGGTTTTATGGAGGAAGAATTTGAACTAGGCCTTGGTGATTGAATAGAAGTTACTCAAAAGAGCCAAGGAGATAGGGACAGGGACATGGACATCCGAGAAGAAAAAGAACTAAAAATGCTGCAAACATTGTCTATAGGTGGCAAGATGGTCAACACACTATACTTGGCAGGATAGTTTATGCAGGACAGTGAAGGATTTGTCCCATCCACGGCAGTGCTGTCAGTAGATAACCCTTGGCTGTTATCTTCTGCAGGAGTGGTCTCAGCTGTAGAAAGCCACCTGCTCCAAGTTCACATCCCTTTTGGCCACATCCAGTGACTGACCTGTTTGCAGTCTAAAGGCCTGGTTATCTCAGCCCAACATAGGACATCTCTGAAGAGCAGTTTTAACCCCAGAGCTCATCATGGGGTTAAGTGAGGCTGTTTTGGAGTCTGTATCCCAACTTGATTTCTCTCTTCACTTACTCCTGATTCTGTACCTCCTTTCCACAAATGATGATTCTCCTTAATAAACATTCTGTATGAATTTTGCCTCAGAGTCTGTCCCCCAGAGAATCCATCCTGGAGCAAATATTTATTCAAAAAATTGAAACATAATGCAGCAAGGTGAAGTGGTGTTGTAGAAGGTTATTTACAACCTTGGGAAATTCTTCATGATATACATTGTTAAGTAGAAAAAAATGTTGGAAAACAGTAAGTTGTGCATGACATTTCTTTGTAGGGAAACAAAGTCACAGTTTTAGAATGAAGATAAAGACATGACAAAGCAGTTAGTTCTGGGTGCAGACTACATTGGTGACTGTTCTTTTCTATTTTTAAAATTTTCTATAATAAGCATATTTTGCTTTTGTAATAGTATTTAAAAAGTCAATGTTTAAAAGATCATTCCGATATATGCTGCTTTCAGCTCCTTGAATTTGGTATTAGCTGCTTCAGCTGTCCTATGTGCTGACCTTTTTGCTATCACCCTCTCAAGTAATTGCTATTTATCGCTCAGATTTCAGGCTTTGAAACCTTTCTTGAGCAAAGCTTTCCTAAGATTTCTGGATTAGTTCTCCCTATTTTATGTTTTCTTCTTTTATCTCATTGCTCTTATCATTATTAATTGAGTATTTGTCCTTCCTGCTGGACTATAAGCTCCATAAAGTCAGGGCCTTTGATATTCTTAGAGCTCTCTAACCTTAGTGCGTAGCACAATATCAAGGACCTAGTAGGAGCTCAATAAACACTTGCTGAAAAAATACATGCATAAAGCCAGTTATTTATCAAAGTGTAAGATAGATCATAATTCATATAGTTGTGCATACAGAGTCAAACCAATGCAGGACAGGTGAGCTCCAAAATTGGAGCTTACCTTGGGAAGGCTCTTGGCTTTGCCCAGGAAAGAATTCAAGGGTGAGCCAGTAATGTTAGTAATCTTCTACTGAGTGGTACTGCTTCTTGAAAAGCAGGCCTAATTCAGGCAGTGCTCCCAGAGTCAGCAGTATATGGGCTATTTATGCCCACTTATAACTACTTTTAATTTCATGGAAATTAACGGGCAGTTTATTTAGAAATCTCTAAAAAAGGCCCAGTAATTTTGGGCCATTGCCATGGAAAGGGTAGTAACTTGTGGGTCATTGCTATGACATTTGTAAACTGTCATGGTGCTGGTGAGAGTGTCTTATGCTAATGAGCAGCCAGGGCAACTAGAGGATGCCTTCCAGGCCATCTGCTGGTTCTTGCTGTTTTTTTTTTTTTTTTTTTTTTGCCATGTGAGGTCTTCCTGGAGCGGATGGTGTTATCTGATGAAAACCAGTGCTCCAGTTCACATTCGCACTTTGTTCTTGACCAACCCAAACCAGATTCTTTCCTTGAGCACCTGTTGGCTTGGCTTTTTATCAAACCACACCCAAGAATTGTGGGTGGAGTTCTTTTTTTTTTTTTTAAGAAAGGAGAGAAGGAAAGAAAAAAAAGGAGTGAAGGAGAGGAAGAAAGAGAAAGAAAGGGAGAGAGAACGGAAATGTTGCTTTATTCTAAAAATTGGTATTGAAAACCTCTTTTCTGCCAATAATTGTGCTTAATAATGGCTGATCAACATTTCATTTAAACCTATGAATAGGTGTGATGTGGTACTGACAAGAATGTATATTTTGCGTATTTAAAGTGGAGAGCTCTATAAATGTTTATTAAGTTAACTTGTTCCGGATCTGAGTTCAAGTCCTAGATATCCTTATTAATTTTCTGTCTTATTGATCTATCTAATATTGATGTTGAAGTCTCCCAGTATTGTTGTGTGGGAGTCTAGGGAGTCTAAGTCTCTTTATAGGTCTTATGTATCTGGGTGTTAGGATCGTTAGCTCTTATTGTTGCATTGATCTTTTTACCACTCTATCTTTGTTGCTTTAAAATCTATTTTATCAGATGCGAGAATTGCAACTCCTGCTTTTTATTTATTTATTTATTTTTGCTCTCCATTTGGTTGGTAAATGTTTCTCCATCCCTTTGTTTTGAGTCTTTGTGTATCCTTGCATGTGAAATGGGTCTGGATGTAGCATACCGTTGGGTTTTGGCTGTATCTTTTGATTGGGGGATTTAGTCGATTTAAATTTAGGATTATTGCCATTTGATGTTAATTGGCTGTTTTGTCCATTTGTTGATGTAAATTCTTTATGTTGATGCTCTTTGCTTTTTGGTATGTTTTTAGAAAGGCTAATACTGGTTGTTCTTTTCTATGTGTAATGCTTCTTTTGAAGCTCTTGTAAAGCAGGCCTGGTGGTAATAAAATCTCTGAGTACTTGCTTGTTCATAAAAGATTTTATTTTTCCTTCAGTTGTGAAGCTTAGTTTGGCTGGATATGAAATTCTGGGCTGAAAGTTCTGTTCTTTAAGGATGTTGAATATTGGCCCCCACTCTCTTCTGGCTTGTAGGGTTTCTGCTGAGAGGTCTGCTGTAAGTCTGATAGGCTTCCCTTTGTGGGTAACCCGACCTTTCTCTCTGACTGCCCTTAGTATTTTCTCCTTCATTTCAACCCTGTTGAATCTGACAATTATGTACCTTGGGGTTGCTCTTCTTGAGGAATATCTTTGTGGTGGTATCTGTATTATCTGGGGTTGAATATTGTCCTGCTTTGCTAAGTTGGGAAAGTTTTCCTGAATAATGTCCTGAAGAGTATTTTCCAGCTTGGATTCATTCTCTTTGTCGTATTCAGGTACACCTATCAAACGTAAATTAGGTCTTTTCACATAGTCCCAGTTGGCTTTAGTCTACAGGCTTCTGAAACCCCAACAGTGTGTTGGTGCTGGGTATACCCAGTGGGTGGGGTCCAGGAAGATCATCTCTATCTGCCACTACAGAGATTCCCCTCACCTTCAAATCAGAGGAATATGTGTGGGACAGTCTCAGGACCAGATGATGGCTTCTGAGGACTGCCACCAATGAGCTAACTACCTAGACACACCACCTAATTGTTGGAATGGTCAAAAGAAACCTAATATTCAGCACCGTGCAGTTATGGCCTGTCAGTTTTTGAACCCATACAAGGAAGCTTCTGTAGAAAGGATCTTAAATCAGTATAAATACATGTTAAAGTTCCATTTCTGAGGGTATACTAGCTAAATCTGTGGAACATGGACATTGCACATGATCATCTTACTCATCTGCAAGTAGCCTCTCCTCTTTCTCATCTGGGAGGGTTTACTGCATAGTGTTTATAATTACAGACTTTGTGTTTAGGCGGTCCTGAATTTAAATAGTACCTATGCTATTACATTGGTGCAGCCTTGTTCAACTTGTTTAACTTATTTCATCTCAGTTTCTGAACTTAAAACATGTGGATAATCATATCTAATGCACAAGGAAGTGAAACTGAAATAGAATAGTAGCTCTCCAGCTTGTATCACAATGCCTGCTGTGGGATCAGTGTTACCATAAGGTGGCCATTATTAAAACCCAGCTTAGAATTTGAAAGACTTAAAAAAAAAAATCCTGGTAAACCTAAAGAGATGCATTGTCATTTATGCATTTTACTCATAGGAGCTTCTCTGTAGCACTAGCTCGGGGTCCTTTTATTGCTATTAAGTGAAGTAGCAGTCTAAAAACAGGATAAGAAGAGTAGAATAGAATAGTATAAGATGCTACTAGAAGTGGGTCCTCTGATAGCAACATGCAAAGACTGACACATTTACAATATGGAAAAAAAGGAAAAAAGAACAAAAAATACAGACAAAATGAAAATAATCAAGGGACTGAGATTAACTTAAAAGGCCTCAATTATTTCTCCACTCATAGAATGAACCAAAGTGTTCAAGGAAAAGTTAAATTGTGTTTGAAGCCCAAAGGGATTAAGTCATGTGCCCAAGTTTGCTAAATTTGTCTGAGGAGACCCCTGGTCTACTGACACCCAATTTAGCATTCTTTCCAGTACAATGTGCTACTTCATCACTATGCTCTTCTAGTGTGAATCACCAACATGTATAAATATAATACATAATGCAAATAATACACAGATACAAACATTAACATGTAAAGTACCTCATTTCCCAAAAATCCCAACTTACAATATTCATGAATGCTTCTGGGTCCACAGCTTTAGTTGGCATATGTACTGAATTCACACTTTTCTGGAACATATATGCCACCAGAATCAGAAGCCACATCTCCATTCTGTGTGAGACAATCCACTCTTTTGACAAGATTTCCAACATGATCCAACATCTGCATTTATTTTTTCCTGCCAACATAACAACTCATTCTAAAGTAAGAATAATCTGTAGGTTTAAAAACTCACATATTTTCTGGCTGCAATTCCTTCTCCCAATTCTGAAGCAAATTAAGCAAGCTTGGTTGATAGGGAAGGGAGAACACAAAGTAGGCTGGAAACATTGCCTAGAATGTCCCAATACCATCTGGCTCCTCCCATTCCTCCCTCACACAACTTGTAATTCCTGATCCTTCAGCAGGTGTATAGAACTTTCTCTGATCCAACCTGGAGTTTTATGCGTGTGATACAGTTCATAAAAACCCCTGTACTTAATCACCAGGTAATAAAGACTATCGGGAACCTCTTTCCTTCCACTCCTAGTTTTTATCTTTCTTTGATAGATAGCAGAAGATGGAGTCTGCAGAAAGCACTATAGTCATATTCTGGGACTTCAATGATCACTGTTATTTGGCTAAAGATAAGTGTTGTGATAAGTACTTTATTTAAAATATCTAAAATTTTATGGACATTTTCTATTTTTAGGGATGGATGAGAACATTAATTAGAAGAAAACAAGTCTTCCACGTTAAGCCCGTTTCTGTCTACTTCAATTAAATAGATAGACACAAACTTTTTATTTTAGGTTGTAATCACTAGTTAATTGCTGGAATATCGATTAGATTATCTAGTAAATAAATTGCCAGCTATTGTTTAAAATAATGGGTTGTAGCCTAGTTATTTTCATGAACTAAATGTCCAGTTCAATTGACTATGAGGCAAATGTGAGCAATTCCTTAGCATACTAATAACTGAGCAGGCCAGGAATGTTAATTTATTTGTCATTTTAAGAAAAGCATGTGTTAGAAGTTAAAACAGTAAAGTGAAATATTTATTTATTATATCAATTCTTCAAGGCTGAGCTAACAGCAGCCACATCAATATTCAGATTTTTGGAATGTGGTGGGTGAAGGAGCCAGATGCTGAAACTGGAAAGATGAGTCTGTGAGAACACATGTGCCCACATGAGTCAGCCTCCTCCGCTCTGGGCTGGTTGCATGGGTGTGAAGAGGTAAGCCTGCATCCTTATCTGGACCAGTGTGAATGTCGCTAGCATAGCTAATTTGATGCCTGCTGGAGGAGCCATTTGACCTAATTAGAAGAGCAGAGAGAACACTTATCCAACACTGCAGAGCCCTGTGTCTTCAGCGACCCATGAGTTCTCCCTCAAGGCAGGCAAGATGAGATTTCAGAAAAGAATGTGGGCTCCCATCACTCACATTTTAGGATTTGTAAATGTTATATAGCCAGAAAAAAAGATCTCATTCCGCTTTCACTTTCAGAAATATGAAGACACATTAAATGACTTGCCAAATACTGCCTTGCTAGATTATGGCAAGGCCAGAACTGAGATTCAGATATTTTAATTTGCTGTTCAGCATTATGACTACATGGAAAAATACGTAAACTCTGATGTCCTCTGCTCCATCAAAGATGAAGCCTAACCTACCATCAGGAAGCAATTATATCAATCTCTGTGAACTGTCTCTTTAAAAAGTTATCTTCTGGATTTAAAATTTGGAATAATTCCCAATGATGTCATTATGAGTTTGGCAGGTACTGTCCACTCAACTGCTGCAATACGTTCAGATAAAATCAACTCCCACATTAGATTAATATGCTTGTGAATACTGTAGAGACTTTTTTAGAAGAGAATTTATGGCAATAAACTGATTGGTTCAACCCCCTACCCCAAAATAACTCCGTCCCTCCCTCCCTCCTTTCTTTCTTTCTTTCTCTTTCTTTCTCTTTCTCTTTCTTTCTTTCTTTCTTTCTTTCTTTCTTTCTTTCTTTCTTTCTTTCTTTCTTTCTTTCTTTCTTTCTTTCTTTCTTTCTTTCAACTTTCTGTAGCTGTAGCTGGCCTCCTTAGGTACTAAGTATATTGCAGGGAAAATAGAATTAAGTTTGGCTCTCAAATTCCTGGGTAACTTTACAAGGTCATAACTGTCATTTTGGAAGCAGGCAAAGCCATATCCCAAGTCAGCTCAAAAAGCAACAATTTGAGCAAATTTTACAACACCCTTGCTACCTTGCAATCCCCAGCCTGTGGAGAGTATCAGAGACATTATAAAAGAGATGGGAGTCTATGTGTGCCATATGGCCTCCCACTTCAAGGTGCTGATCTTGAGAGATTTCTTTTTAAAGGCTTCTATCTAGGAACTCTGTGACCTTTGGAAATGGGTTTTTGTCATCTGAGTACATAAAGAAGTAGGGTCTGAAGTATCTGGACTTCTTAAAATGAAAAACATTGATCTCCCTTAATATACACTATCTATAAATTAATTAAATATCAAAATACAGAAAAACAACAGGTCAACTAGAATAAACATTAAGAAAAAGCTTTCTAATTAAAAGTGAATGAAAATCAGCCTGTGGCCCTACACATTCATATGCCGTGTGTAAAAATTATAAAAACCAAAACAGCTAAAAAACCAAACAAATAAAATGGTATATTAAAAAAAATCACCATAAGAATAAGAAAAAAGAGAAACACCTTGAAACTGTAAAAACAAAAACATTCCCTAACCCAAAGGAAAGAGGTAGGAGAAAAGAATACATGTCAAGATCAGCCTCAGAAACTTCCACCCTTTATGCAAAGTACCCAGTAAAGTTCACCTCAAATTGGCTAAGCAAGCCCCTTTTACATTTTATTTGAACCATGCAGTGTAAAAAGATAACATTTGCCTTCCTCTTTTAGATATGAGGTCAAACTATCAAGGGTTAGCTCTATTTGGACATGAGAAATAATTCCTCTCAAAAATTTATGAAACAGTAAAAAAAAAAATTGTAGAGCTTCTAAAAATCCTGGTTCAAGTGAGGATTCAAGAGTCACAATGTACTATTAATGTGACCCAATTTATGCCCACAGTTTGTGAATATCCCTGGTAGTATTTATGTGCTGAAATATATTTTTCCCCACATTTGCTTGGCTTTATAATACATAAAGATCAAATCCCAACAATTGTTTCTAAACACTTTTAAGTTACATGATGTTTTTGAGAAGCTGACAAAAACAAGACTGTCTCCTCAGAAATATATACATTTGCGTTTCTATGCAAAATTTCATAACTTTTCAAGGGACGCAAGGTCCTCTTGCATTTCTTCTATAGAGCCCTTGGGTTTGATGTGGTTTGGCTGTGTCCTCACCCAAATCTCATCTTAAATTGTAGCTTCCACAATTTCTATGTGTCCTTGGAGGAACCTGGTGGGTAGTAATTGAATCATGGGAACAGGTCTTTCTCATGCTGTTCTTGTGATAAGTCTCATGAGATCTGATGGTTTTGAAAATGGGAGTAGTTTCCTGGTACAAGCTTTCTTCTCTTGTCTGCTTCCATGTGAGATGTCCTTTTCACCTTCCATCAAGATGGTGAGGCCTCCCCAGCCACATGAAACTGTAAGTCCAATAAGCCTCTTTCTTTTGTAAATTGCCCATTCCTGGGTATGTCTTTATCAGCAGTGTGAAAATTGATATAGTAAACTGGCACCAGTAGAGTGGGGCACTGCTGAAAAGATATCTGAAAATGTGGAAGCAGCTTTGGAACTGGGTAACAGACAGAGGTTGGAACAGTTTGGAGGGCTCTGAAGACAGGAAAAGGTGGAAAACTTTGCAACTTTGTGGAGACGTATTGAATGGCTTTGACCAAAATGCTAATAGTGATATGGACAATGAAATCCAGGTTGAGGTGGTCTCAGATGGAGATGAGGAAATTGTTGGAAACTGGAATAAAAATGACTCTTGCTATATTTTAGCAAAGAGACTGGCCGAATTTTGCCCCTGCCCTAGAGGTTCATGGAACTTTGAACTTGAGAGAGATGTTTTAGGGTATCTGGCAGAAGAAATTTCTAAGCAGCAAAACATTGAAGAGGTGAGTTGGGTACTGTTAAAGACATTCCATTTTAAAAGGGAAACAGCATAAAAGTTCAAAAAATTTACATCCTGACAATGTGATAGAAAAGAAAATCCCATTTACTGAGGAAAAATTCTAACCAGATGCAGAAATTTGCATAAGTAAGGAGGGGCCAAATGTTAATCACCAAGACAATGGGGAAAATGTCTCCAGGGCACGTTAGGGACCTTTGCAGCAGCTCCTCCCATCACAGGCCTGAAGATTTAGGAATGTAGTCCAAAACTAATTAGGACTAATACAGGCTTCATGGGCTCAGCCAAAGAACCAGAGGTTGAAAGGCACTGCTAATCCAAGTTATTGCCTACATGTAACTCAAGGACCTCTCATCTTTAAACTCCATTCGTGGTTACTGAATTTTGCTATTTGGGTCTTAGATTGGTGACTCTAAACCAGTGTAAGGTTTATAACTCTGGTATTATCAGTTTAGTTTTCTAACATATCTTCAAAACGCAGGCTAGGGAATGTATACGCACATACATTTTTAACTAAAGCACGTTCAAATCACTTTTGATTATTTTGTGAGGCCATTTGTGATAGTTAAAGACACTTTAGTCATAGCAGAAACCGGGTAGGAATTAGAATGAGGAAGTTGCAGGGCTGCATCCAGGAATCCCAAGCAATGCCTTCACCAGGGGAGATTTCTGCTTAGCAGGGGTGAGTTCTCAGGCTTCTCCACGGTCTGACACAGTGTCCACCAGGCTGTCACCTCCCTTGCTTTACTTCCACACTCACAAAGCAACCTCTTGGGTTATAAGAAATTGGTCATTTGTTGTTCTGGGTAATTTGAGAAACTAGAAATAAGCTACATTGGAATAGGGACATACGGTATTTTGGCTACTGTGCTAGGAATAGCCTCTCCTGTAAATAATTCCATTACTGGTCTGGCTCCTATGTTAAGATAACCTGATTGTCTTTGGGTGTCATTGTAAAAGTTTATTTGCTGCCTATTATCTGGTTGGGAGATATTGCAAGGCTGCCAGCCACGAGATGCTTTCTCACCAGAAGGCATCTTTGCCACCCTCTGCTTGGTCACACTACCACCTTGTCTTCCATTTTAAACCTGAACTTAGCTGGGTGTCTGAGTGAGTCTGCATCTGAGAATGTTCTATTCACAAAGGAGTTGTTATTATTCATTCAGTCCCATTTCCCTTATTCAAATGACAAAGTCTTAGTTTCCAGAGTGAGGCTTTATACTTCGCCACTACC